TGACCATCACTTTTTTTTTTTTTTTTGGTCCAGTCATGGGGCCTGAACTCTGGGCCTAGGCGCTGTCCCTCAGCTCTTCAGCTCAAGGCTAGCGCTCTACCACTTGAGCCAGAGCGCCACTTCCGGCTTTTTTCTTATGTGGTGCTGAGGAATCGAACCCAGGGCCTCAGGCATGCAAGGCAAGCGCTCTACCACTGAGCCACCTTCCCAGCCCTGACCATCACTTTTATAATAACAATGAAGTCAATTTTTAAAAAATTAGCTTTTTGAAGCTGGGTGCTGGTGGCTCATATCTGTAATCCTAGCTACTCAGTAGGCTGAGATATGAGGATCACAGTTCAAAACCAGCCCACGTAGGCAAGTCTGTGAGACTCTTATCTCCAATTAACCAACAGAAAAACTGAAATAGCACTGTGGCTCAAAGTGATAGAGTATTAGCCTTCTTGGCCCAGAGTTCAAGCCCCACAACTGACAAAAAAAAAAAAAAGCAAAAAGGGCAAGGGACTTGATTGAAGTAGAAGAGCACTTCTCTAAAAATGAGAGAGGGCCTGAGTTCAAACTTCGTATTGGAAAAAAATTTAAAACGTGAACTAAACTGACAGCATAATTTGTTCCTTAGCACTAGATGGCAGTATTACTAAACAATGCAATGTCTGCTTTTAAGGCAGAATTGTGAATTTAGGCTGATTTCAGGAGATCATATAGCTTTTGTATTTTGTAATTTTTAACATTTTGGTTTTAAAAATAAAATTTTATTTTTATTGAAACAGACTCTTGCTATGTAGTGCAGGCTGGCTAGAGATTCTTCTGCCTCAGCCATTCCAGTGCTGGGTTTATTGGTATATACCACCATATTTGGCAAAATAGATTTTTATTTATTTTTTTTTCAAAATAGATTTTAGAAGTATGTGAGATCAGAGGAATAACAGCATCATTATTTGTTATTATCCTCATTATTTGTCATTTGCATTAGAGGTATACCCCAATCCTGGGGCTTCAACTCAGGGCCTAAGCACTATCCCTAAGCCTCTCTGAGCTCAAGGCTAGCACTCTAGCACTTGAGCCACAACATCACTTCTGGCTTTTTCTGTTTATGTGATACTGAAGAAATGAACTCAGGGCTTCACGCATGCTAGGCAAGCACTCTACCACTAAGCCACATTCCCAGCCCCGTGCTGTGTAATTCTTAAACCTTATTATTTTTTCTGCAGTAACTACTTCCTTTGGATTACACCATAATTCTGAGCAAAGTAGTGCAAGAATCTTTAACTCTAAATTCAAAAAAGAAAAAGCGACAGCCTACCTAACACTCTCAGACAGTTCTAAGAACAAAAGGAATCTAAGATCCTGGTACATTTTGACTATGTCTCTGTCTCTGTATGTTTGTATATATGTGGAGACAGAATTTCATTGTGTAGCTCACAAGCAGAGGTCCAATTTGTGATCCTCTCTTAGCCTTCCAAGTGCTGAGGAAATACTATAGGCCTGGGTGCTGTTCTTGAGTTTAGTTTTTATTTATTTTTTAGAATTTATTTATTTTTTTGGTCAGTTGTGGGGCTTGAACTCGGCCTGGGCGCTGTCCCTCAGCTCTTCAGCTCAAGGCGAGCACTCTACCACTTGAGCCACAGCGCCACTTCTGGCCTTTGTCTGCTTACGTGGTGCTGGGGAATCGAACCCAGGGCCTCATGAATGCAAGGCAAGCAGTCTACCACTGAGCCACCTTCCCAGCCCTTGAGTTTAGTTTTTAAAAATGTATTTTCCTCAGTGAGCCAGTAGCTAACACCTGTAATCCTAACTACTAAGGCTGAGATCTGAGGATTACTGTACTAAGCCAGCCCAGGCTAGAAAGTCTGTGAGACTCTTAGCGTCAATTAATCACCAAAAAGCCAGAAGTAGAACTTGGCTCAAGTGGCAGAGTGCTAGCCTTGAGCAAAAAAGCTCAGGGACAATGCCCAGGCCTGAAGTTCAAGCCTTAGCACTGGCACACACAAAATTGAATTTATAGTAAGATCTTTGTAATAGAACTGTATTTAATGTATACTTGACTTTCAGGATCCTCCATAGAAAGAATGGGGCATGAGAATGTAGGATTCGAAATACGATTAATCTAAATACTCCAAAATACTATGGACTATGGACAAGGGCTGGGAAGATGGCTCAGTGGTAGAGTGCTTGCTTTGCATGCATGAGGCCCTGGGTTCAATTCCTCAGCACCACATAAGCAGAAAAAGCCGGATGTGGTATTGTGGCTCAAGTGGTAGAGTGCTAGCCTTGAGCTGAAGAGCTGAGGGATAGCATCCAGGCCGAATTCAGGCTCCATGACTGGCAAAACAAAACAAAACACTATGGATGTATTTGTTTTTCAAACACTTATTTATTTATTGGTGGGGATTGAACTCATAGCTTTCTGTTTGCAAGGCAGGGATACTCTATCACTTGAGCTAGGCCTCCAGTACAAATTTGATATTTTGTCCATCATCTTTTATTTTATGTGTTTGATGGTACTGAAGTTTGAATTGAGGTCTTAAACATGCTTGCTTGTTTAGTGCTCTATCACTTGAACCTGACCTCCAGCTCCAAAAACATTTCTGAAGGGATGTAAAATGGTACAGCTTCTCTGGAAAGAGAAGCTTATAGTTTCTTCTTTTTTTTTTATTTTTTTCATTTTAAAGAAAGAAGAAGGAAGGAGGGAAGGAGGGAGGGAGGGAGGGAGGGAAAGAAAGAAGGAAGGAAGAGAGGGAGGGTGGGAGGGAGGGAGGGAAGGATAAGTTTATTTTTGGGGGGAGGGTCCGGTCGTGGGGCCTGAACTCTGGGCCTATGCTCTGTCCCTCAGCTCTTCAGCTCAAGGCTAGCACTCTAACACTTGAGCCACAGCGCCACTTCCGGCTTTTTTTCTTTTTGCTTATGTGGTGCTGAGGAATGGAACCCAGGGCCTCATGCATGCAAGGCAAGCGCTCTACCACTGAGCCACCTTCCCAGCCCCTTATAGTTTCTTCTTAAATGAAGACATGTAATTACCAAATAATCCAATGTTTGGACTTGGCATTTATCCCAAGAGAAATTTATGTTCACACAAAATCCTACAGGTGGAGGGTTTCGGAAGGGAGGTAATTAAAACAATTGTGAATGTATGTGTGTACATGTACTGAAATATCACAGTGAATCTCATTAACATGTATAATTAATGTATGTTAATAAAGAGAAATCTATACTCAAATATTTAAGTGTTGCTATATCCAAAAAAAAACACCTGAAAACAAGCTAAATATCATTCAATGCATAAATGATCAAAAATGGTTATAATTCGAAATCTATGATGTTAAAAAACCCTGAATCTTTTGAATACTGACATTAGGCCACAGTGAAAATACTGTAGGCCTCTCAAAATACAGATACACTGAACATACTATACAAGATTACCTTCACACTATACATATAAGGTATATGTGAACATAATGAATTTCTGGTTTAAATTTAAGTCTCAACTCCCAAGTATCTCTCTCTCTCTCTCTATCAAGTATTTTGGTTAAGGAATAGTCAATCTGTTCCTCTGTTACCTAATAATACTTAGCAATAAAAGGGAACAAATTTGGGCTGGGATGCAGTAGCTACTTAAGAGGCTAAGATCTGAGTATTGAGGTTCAAAGCCAGCCTGGGCAGGAAAGTCTGTAAGATTCTTATCTCCAATTAACCACTAGAAAAAAATCCCAAAAACCTAGAAGTAGAGCAGTGGTTCAAAGTGGCAGAGTGCTAGCCTAGAGCAGAAGAGCCTAGGCCCTAAGTTCAAGCCCCACAACCAACAAAATAAAACAATCTCACATGGTGACATACCACATGATTGCCTTTTCATAACATTTTTGAAATAGACAACATTATAGAACTGGAAAACAAGACTAATGCTTGCCAAAGTCTAAAAACTAGTGTGTGTGTGTGGGGGGGGGGGGCAGAGACGATATTACAGGGAATCAGTGGGATAATAGAGGAGTAATACAAAGGATCCTATGGGGACAGAGGCATTCTCCATCTTAGCTATGGTAGTGGATACAAAAATCTGTACCCGAGACAGAAGTTCACAGAGCTGAACACCTTCCCCCTCACAAATGAATGCAAGTAAAATAGAGGAAGTATGAACAAGATGGGGGTAGCTTGTGTCAATGTGCTGAATGTAATATATTTTGTGAAATGTTATCAATGGAGAAAGAGAAAAGGGACACAGGATCCTTCTGAATTATTTCTTCTAACTAAATTTATGGTTATTTCAAAATGAAAAGTTTAAGTTAAAATCAGTAAGTTTGACTTGATTTCTTTTATCAGGCTATCATTATAAAGAAAATAGATTAACTCACCAAATATTTACAATTCTAGATGCTTAAGATACACGATCAAGGCAGATGAGACAGCTGCCCCAAAGAGCTTTTACTTTGGTGGGCTTGAGATAGAGTTATGCACTGTTAGCTGATTAGAAATCTTAGTGAGAAAATAAAGCAAGGAAGAGAAGGCCCCAACTAGACAGTACATTCAGGAACTGAGGACAGGGAGAAAAACATACCTGGACAAAGATACTGCAGGCCAAAGGAAAAGGAAAGCCTTTCCTGAAGTAGGAGATTGTCTGGCACATTTGAGGAAAGGCAGGAGAGCCAATGAGATTGGGGTCAAGTGAGCAAGGCAGGGTGGTAGAAGATAAAGCCAAAAGGGGAGGGGTCAGACTTTTAAGTGATAGGACATTACTGAGGTGTTTTAAGTAGAGGAATGAAACATATTTTACCAAGATTATGCTGGCTGAGGGATTGAAAATAGGGAAAAGAGCAGCAAGAGCAAAAGCTAGGAGATCAGTAGGAGAACCCAGAAGAAATAGACCAGAAACTACCTGAACGAATGTCATTATGTTGTCACATACACATCTTTGATAGATAAGTGACATCAAACTTTCAGTACAATCACAACTCTTAAAAAATGGAACTCTGTTTTGTTACTTTGGACATGGCTAGGACTTTACAAACCTTATCTTGTGACCCAGAGGGTGTCTCTTCCAGAGTCTCAATGCTTCCCAGATTGGAGAGCTGAGTGCTTGGTTGTAATCCAGGGCTAGAGATATTTGAGTCACCCATCTGATTCTTGGGGAAAAAAAAAAAGCAAAAAAATTACTATCAAATAAAACTTTGCCACTTATTTGACTCATAAAAAATAGCATTAGGAGTTACCAGAAATCTGATTAAAAAAAAAAAGAACAAAAAAATAGTATATAACAAAGCTTTTACAAATCTGAGCATCTACTTTAGACATTAACAACTGTTATTTTTATTTTTTGTTGGTTGTGGGGTCTTAACTCTGGTCCTGGACACTGTCCCTCAGCTCTTCAGCTCAAGGCTAGTGCTCTACCACTTGAGCCACTGTGTCACTTCCAACCTTTTCTGCTTATGTGGTGCCAAGGAATTGAACCCAGGGCCTCATGCATGTAAGGCCACTGAGCTACGTTCCCAGCCACCACAATTTTTTTTTATCAGCCTTTTAAGGAAAGGTCAATGACACTATTTTACCACATATTCCCTTGTATTTTATTTTATAACATCAACAAAATTAATTGTTCTCGATATAGTTCTATTTGTATATCCATCCACCTCCACACAGCCCAGATACAAAATAGTTCCATCACAAAAAAAGCTCCCTTCCAAGGCCCCATTATAGCCAGATCCTCTAACCACTCCTGGCAGAGTTACTTGAAATTTATTTTTTCAAAAATGTCAGCTGGGCTGGGTGCTGGTGGCTTACGCCTATAATTCTAGCTACTCAGGAGGCTGAGCTCTGAGGATCATGGTTTGAAGCCAGCCAGGTCAGGAAAGTCCATTATACTCTTATTTCCAATTAACCACCAGAAAACCAGAGGTGGTAGTACAGCTCAAAGTGGTAGATTAGGGCTGGGAAGGTGGCTTAGTGGTAGAGCGCTTGCCTTGCATGCTTGAGGCCCTAGGTTCGATTCCCCAGCACCACATAAGCAAAAAGGGAAAAAGCCGGAAGTGGCGCTGTGGCTCAAGTGGTAGAGTGCTAGCCTTGAGCTGAAGAGCTGAGGGACAGTGCCCAGGCCCAGAGTTCAGGCCCACGACCAGACCCCCCCCCCCAAAAAAAAAAATCAAAGTGGTGGAGTGTTAACCTTGAGTGAAAGTGCCCAGCCTGATGACTGACCAAAAACAAAAAAAACAACAACAAAATGTCATATAAAATGATGTTAAGTGAAGACAGGTTCAGAGAGACAGAGGATGCATGCTTTCTCTCATGTGTGGAAGTTAAATCTAAATTATAAATATATATAATATACCCATATATATACATATGCACACACAAACATACAGAGTCATATGCATACATACACAAACATATTAACTAAAATATGGTATGTATAGGGGAGGATTTTAATGATTTAACTTTTTTTTTTTTTTTGGTCAGTTGAACTCAGGGCCGGGGTACTGTCCCTGAGCTCTTTTGCTCAAGGCTCACACTCTACCACATGAGCCACAGTGCCACTTCTGGTTTTTGAGTGGTTAATTAGAGATAAGAGTCTCATGGACACTTTTCTGTCTGGGCTGGCTTCAAACCTGGATCCTCAGATCTCAGTCTCCTGAGTAGCTAGGATTACAGGTGTGAGTGCCCGGGCACCCGGCTGGTTTAACTCTCTTTAAAAAGTAACTTAGTTTAACAAAATGAATACCAGGAAGCTGGAACTTGTGATGTCAGGATGGGGGAAGTTCAAAGGGAGGGGAGAGAGGAATAGAGGAAGGGTGGGTAGAATGTAGTCATAATGTTCAATCTATATATGCAAAAACAGAACAAGGAAAATTGGGGGCATAAGTGGGGTTAGGAGAGATGGAGAGAATTATGAAAGGGTGTTTTCTGGTCAGTATCCAGAGAGCCTCACCCTCTCATACTCATCCTTTGCTCTGCTCAGCATCTCAAGGATGTCGATGGGCCTCTGGTTGCTGCAGCCATTGGCCTGGCTGGGACTCTGTTTATCTCGAGCAGCCTGCTGTGATCGTCGTGTTTCCTCTTCTACCACACTAGAGAAGGAGAACCAGATTTTAGATTCCTGGAGCTTGAACTCAGGGCCTGGGTGCTGTCCCTGAGCTTTTGTGCTCAAAGCTTACATTCTACCACTTGAGCCACAGTTTCACTTTTGACTTTTTTGGTAGTTAATTGAAGATATGAGTCTCATAGACTTTACTGACGTGGCTGGCTTTGAACCATGATCCTCAGATCAGCCTCATGAGCAGGCAGGATTACAGGTGTAAGCCACCTGCTGCATGTGGCTTAGCAATGCTTTTTACACAAACTGACTCAAGTATCTTTGGTGTCTGTTCACAACAGTGCCAGCCAATGTATATTGCCTTTACAAGTATAAAAATGTAGAATTCCTTCCTAGAGGTATTGGAAGTTGGTACTTTAAAAACTCCATCAAAGACAGGTGTGGTGACACATACCTGTAATCCCAGTATGCAGGAAGCAGAGGCAGGATTGAAAATTCCAGATCAGCCTAAACTACATAGTAAAAACCTAGTCTCAAGCAAACATATTTGGACATACATATATCCAAATAAACAAAACAAAACAAAACTCCTCTGAAGTATCTCCTTTTCTCCTATAAATAACACAAAATCAGTTGGATTAAGCAGTAAGGTTGTTACTAATGTTATATGTTACTAAGACACTGAAGACTGACTATATAACTCAATAATACATCATGGACTTACTCATACTGAACCAGCCTAGAAAATGAGTCTTTGTGAATCTTTTAGAGTTAATAGCATTACATGAAGTGGCACTGTAGCTCAAGTGGTAGAGTGCTTGCCTTGAGCTGAAGAGCTGAGGGATAGCGCCCAGGCCCAGAGTTCAAGCCCCACGACTGACCAAAAAAAAAAAAAAAAAGCTTTACAAACAGAAAGCTTGCCACTAATTTGACTCAACTCAAGGTGGCTGGGGCAATGTTCTTTACTTTTATTTCTAATACTTAATTCTTCATTTGAAAACCCTCAAAGCAAGAAGTCTCCAGTTAAGAATGCTATCAACTCTGTGCCTCTGATCATATAAAATATTTATATAAAAAAAGAATGTTATCAATAGGATTAGGACCTTTAAATCTGGCAGCTTTCATTTTAAAGAACATTCCATTCCCCTGTATAGAAAGGCTCAAAGTAATTTTAATTACAATAGTAATTTAATTACTTAATTAATCACAATAGTAATTAAAATAGCAGGAATTAAAAGTTGAACAAAATATTTTACTTCCTATATGTTTCTTCAAGCTTGAAATAAATAATAAAATTTTAAAAGCTGCCTTTTCTTTTCTAATTCAGATTTCAGTGACAATTACCATGGGATTTTATGGATATGTGCTATAACTTGGTAACCGTTAAGTGAGAACCTGCTAGACAATGATAATAGGCAACAAAACGATTCAATACCAAAAGTTTTTTTGAATAAGAGGAACAGGTTAGAAAAGACTCCGTGGTGTCAGTTTATGGGTTTAAAACAGTCTGCATATGAATTCTCAATTTTTTGGGAGAGTGTCTTATTACATAGACCAGGCTGGCCTTGACCTGTCTCTTAATCATTCTACTTCAGCTTCTTGAGGACTGAGATTACAGGCCAGTGCTGAGGTTACAGGTGTAATCCAGCTGCCATTCTGAGTTTTAACAAGAAGAGTGAACTTGTAAATTCTCTCCCTTTCATCCCTCCCAACCTCCCTCCTCTGGTGCAGTACTGGGATTGGATCTAGGACTTTATGTTATTAGGCAAGCACTCTACCACTTGAGCTATGCCCCCAGTCCTCCAAAATTGATTTGACCACTCTGCTACTTTAAGGGCATGGGTAGTCTTTCTAGAATCTCAGCTCTTAAGAAACAATTGTATGGGCTGGGAAAGTGGCTCAGTGGTAGAGCGCTTGCCTTGCATGCCTGAGGCCCTAGGTTCGATTCCCCAGCACCACATAAGCAAAAAGAAAAAAGCCGGAAGTGGCACTGTGGCTCAAGTGGTAGAGCGCTAGACTTGAGCTGAAGAGCTGAGGGACAGCGCCCAGGCCCAGAGTTCAGGTCCCACGACCGGACCCCCCCCACACACAAAAAAAAGAAACAATTGTACAACATATTTAGCATGAAAGTCTTTTTGATAGACTGAACAAGACTGGTATGTTATATGAGAATTTGATCAACTATCACTTATTGGCCACACCTTACTACACCTTCAGAAGAACTCTCACACTATCTGTTTTCTACCTATTTCTCACCATGACCCCTGACTTGGCCAACTGGTGTGCAACTATTTCCTGACTGGACTTGTGATTTTGGCTCAAAAGTACATTTTTAATAATCCTGTGGGAACAGATACTGCAGGAAGCTCACAATGGTCAAAGGAAAAGGAGTTAATGAACAAAGCCTGTTCTAAGGCCTCTTTCAGTTACTACTTAGCAAGTAGTGAATACTTTCTTCCTCTCCCTTCCTCTTTCTTTTTTTCTTTTTTAATTGAAAAGGTGATGTGCTGGGGGGGTTACAGTTACACAGGTAAGACAATAAGTACACACACACACACACACACACACACACGCACGCACGAGCACACGCACACACACACGTCCCTGAGCTTCTTTTTGTTCAAGGCTAGCACTCTACCACTTGAACTACAATGCCACTTCCGGCTTTTTCGGTGTATGTGGTATGGAGGAATCAAACCCAGGGCTTCATGCATGCGAGGCAAGCACTTTACCACTAAGCCACCTTACCAGCCCCAAGTACATTTGTTTTTAATCCTCATTACCCCATCCCTCTTTATCTCCCACCAAAACAGGTCCCTTTGACTGTAAGTTCACGAATAAAGTTCCACAAGTTCTCCAAGTTTTACACAGTATCTGGGCAAACATCCAAACAAATTTTTATCATTAACAACAGTTTCTGACAGACCAGAGTCTTTCTTTAGGGAATCCCCTTTGCCTCTGACCACAGAGAATATCCAAATTTAGATACTGAAGGTCTAGAAGTTCACTCAATTTCCTGCACAGCTTCACAGCTTTTTAAAATGTCTTTTGGAATAAATCATTTTTATTTGAAGATTTTTATTATATTGTGGCTATTAAGAGTAATGAAAAGAAATGCAGTTAACCGAATGGGTACTGACAGAAACATTTGTTTGCTTGTTTTTTGTTACAGTGGTACGAGGAATCAAACCTAGGGCCTGGAGCATGCTGAGCACGCACTCTATCAGTGTTCTACATTTCCAGCAATGCATAATATATCAAAAACTTTCATTTGTATTTTGAATCATGTAGAACACAGAGGTGTATAAATGCACATTTAGAGTTTAGAACAGTGGTAATCTAGGAATCACAGAGCCATTTATCCCAAAATTAGTGTTAACATTTATGAAGCATTCTCTTCAGCTATAATTAGCCAGGCACTTAAAGCCTCACTATCAACCAGGATCTTCCTGGTTATCTTTTTTTTTTTTTTCCTCCTTCCTATTTTAAAAACACAGACTTACTATATAACCCAGGCTGGCTTCAAACTTATAACCTTCCTGCTTCTGTCTTCTGAGTACTAGGAATCCAATACACCCTGCTTCTAATTACTTTTTTTTTTTGGCTGGTACTGGGGCTTGATCTCAGCACCTGGTGCTTTTTTTTCTCTCTATCACTTAAGCCACAGCTCACTTCCACCTTTTTGTTGGTTAACTGGAGATAAGAGTCTCTTGGATTTGTCTGCCCAGGCTGTCTTTAAAACTGGCTTTACAATTTGAGCCTCCTGAGTAGCTAGAATTACAAGTAAGCCATTGGCATCTGGCCTAATTATATTCATATTTTCCCCATTTCAAGTCAAATAAAGTGAAAATTTAATCAAAG